GAACACGGATATCAAGGCCATCGCTGGTGCAGCCAACTTTCTCCTCAAATCCGCTGTGGCAGAGCGGACTCACAAGGCGCAACAGGGTTTCGTAGTCGGCCGCAACTTCACCAAGCACATTGTCATTCTTGACGCCGAAATGCGCCGCGCTGGGATACATCCCGATGCTGCTGATCACCACCCTGTCTTCACTAGCTTCGACTTCGCGGCGGCGTTCCCGTCTCTGGGTCGGGAATGGCTCTTCGCGGCACTCGAGCGCTTCGGGGTTCCCATCGGCCTCATGAGCCTCTTCCGCAACCTGTACCACGCGCCGAACAGCTTCCTCAAGGTCGACGGGATCCGCCACTTCACGTTCGCCATCGAGTCGGGCGTCGCGCAGGGCTGCCCCGCCAGTGGCTCTGCATGGGCCATCGCGATGGACCCGCTCGTCCGCCACATCGCCTCCTTCATCGAGCACCCCGACGGCGCGCCCGACTACGACAAAGGCTACCTCGGCGTCTGCGCGGACGACACTGGCCTGCTCACATTCTCGTTCGACACGTTGCGCAAGGCATCTGAGCCTTTTTCTGCCGCAGAGGAGCTCGCGCTTCTCTCCCTCAAACCACGCAAGTGTGTTCTCGTGCCCCTGTGGGCGCCTGTCTCTCCTGCCACCACAGCCCAAACGAAAGCGCTCCTGGCTGACCTTTGCCCTTCCTTGGGTGGCTTCACGATTTCGGGGCGAGCCAAGTACCTCGGGACCTTTCTTGGACCGGCCTCCTCCCTTGCCCTTCAATGGCTCGCCCCGGGGCAAAAGTGGTGGCAGCGCAGTAATTTGCTAAATCTCGTCCAGTCTGGCAGTGATGCCACTGTCCGCCTATATGACACTTCCGTCCTGTCCACGCTCAGCTGCGTTGCTCAGTTCTTCCCGCTCGATTCTAAGATTGCTCGCCGTGAACTGTATGTCTTCCACAAAATGCTCAGCATGCCGCCCGACTCTTTTCGGAAGGTAGGTCTCATCTCGATGGCGGAATGGAGCCCGCCACCTGTCCTGCGTTCAGCCCAAGTCGCCTCTGTCGCTGCAGCCATTCGCACAGCCACTTTCACACTCCGTGGAGAATGGGAACCGTTCTCCCACCGTCTGCGTGACACCGCCTGGGAGGAGAGCACGACCCATTCCTTCCCTCGGTGGGAAGCTGGGCGCTGGTCTCCCCCCTTCTGGGAAGAGACCTCGTCCATCGTGCAGTTCTACCATGCCCTGTCTAGCGGACAGCGCATCTCGCCATTTTCCGCAGCAGCCGTGGCCCTGGCGAACCGCGCCGCACGAGCCGAAATTCGTGAGGCCCCTGCCGCTGGCCCGCCGCGCCGCCCGAAGGTACAGAGGGCAGTCGCGCTCGCTCTGCAGCGTGCCTTTTTCTCTTCGCCGTTCACAGTAACTCTCACGAAGCGCCTCGCAGCGTGGGGCCTTCAGATGACGCCGCCGCCCCCAGAGCTCGCCACCCGCTGGTCAGCGCTCACAAAAGAGCTCGGCGAGGTCCGTCCCAGCTGGCGCTGGGCGGTTTTCAAAACTCTCAGTGGCGGGTGGACGACCACGCACCGCATGCATGTGCTAGCCCAGCGCTCGTGCGTTTTCGGGTGCCCGAACGCACCCGATTCATGTCCCCACTACCTCTCCTGCTCCGTCCTCCTGAGCCTCCTGTGGTCCCCCGACCCCGCTCCTCTCCTCAGCACATCTACGTCCTGGGGCTTGGGCCCTGCAGCAGCGTGCCCTTCCGAACCTGCCAGCGACCTCTCGTTGCGGCAGACGATTCGCAGGATTGCGCTAGCATTCCACCTGTACAACAAAATGAAGCAGCACGCAGCGCCGTCGCCAGCAAACATTGCTGCAGCGATGGCCGCAGCGAAATCTCTCCTGTGGCGTTGATCCGCTGTCCGCCGTCTCACGCTTGGCCTCACTATCTAGGCAGGCTTGTGCGTGGGCTGGGCTGACAGACGTGGCCGCCTCAAGATGCGTTCACTCCTCCTCCTCCTCCTCCTCCTCCCCCTCCTCCTTCCTCTTCGTCCTCGCGCCTTGGCCCACAGCGGGGCCCTGCAAGAGCCCCCTCTGTCTTCCTCCGCCCCCTCGGGCCAGCAGCTCCGTCGCACCACGGGCGGCGGCGCAGGCAGGGTTGGAGGGGGAGTGGGGGGGGGAGGCGGCCTCCTCCTCCTCATCCTCCTCCTCCTCCTCCCTCTCCCTCTGCCTCTCCCTCCTCCTCCTCCTCCTCCTCCTCCTCCTCCTCCTCCTCCTCCTCCTCCTCCTCCTCCCCCTCCTCCTCCTCCTCCTCCTCATCCTCCACCTCCTCCTCCTCCTCCTCGCCGTCAGGCCGAGGCAACTTTCAAGTGCCTCGCCGCCGCGGGTAAGCGGTGCAGCCTGGGCTCCGCGTGGCACCGCCTGAATGCGGTGTGGGTCCGGTGATGTCGCGCTCTTCATCCCGCCCGCTCGCGGTTGCGATAAATGTCGGGCGGAGGGCGGCATTTCCTCTGGGAGGTTCGTGGTCGTTCGTTGTCGTCCTTCGTGTCTCGCTTCGTTGTCGCGTCCGTCGCCCTTTCCTCTTTGGAAGTTGCGGCGCGGCCCTGGAATAAGTTTCGGGGTGAACATTGCTTGCGCTCCTGGACCGGAGAGTGCCCCCCCCCCCCCCTCCCCGCCCTGCTGCCGCCGCTGTCGCAGTTGCAGCAGTCAGGCCAGGGCTTTTAGTGCCCTGCCACCTCGGCCATGCCACCTCGGCCAGGAGGTGCGGCCTGGGCGCGGGGAGAGCCCCAGTGGCGCCTCCTGGTCTGAGGTGAACCGCCGTTGACGATCACGGAGGCGGGGCCCGCGGCTTCCTGCCTGCAACCTCTTGGTTGCAGCGCTCTATGCCGCGGGCATGCTGTTGCCGTGCCTGCGGGGGCGCGGGCGCTGGGCGACGCTTCGCGCATTGCCCCTGGGGCGCCGACCCCGGACCCCCATGCGCCATTTTGGCGCGGGGTGTAGGGCGGTCCTTGGTTCGCTGTCTTATTCTTGACTTACTCCCTCAGGCGCAGCGTTTCCGGCGCTACTGGGAGTTCGTCAGGGAAAGGAAGCCGGAGGTCAGGTCCCAGCTTATGTCCGTGATCCCCGTCGTTTGCGCGTGTGTCTTTGGTGTTGGCCGTTGGCACGTTGGCCGTTGGCCAGGGCACGTTGGCCCGCGGTTAGTTGAGCGCCACAGTTTTGTTATGCCTTCTTGGGCCTGCAACATCCTCCCCCTCCTCGTCCTCCCCCTCCCCTTCTTCCTTCCTCTCCTCCCCCTCCTCCTCCTCCTCCTTCTCCTCGTCCCTCTTCGCCTCCTCCTCATCCTCCTCCTCACTCCTCCTCCTCGTCGTCCTCCTCCTCCTCCTCCTCCTCCTCGTCCTCCTCTTCCTCCGTCTCCTCCTCCTCTTCCTCCTCCTCCTCTTCCTCCTCCACCTCTTCCTCCTCCTCCTCTTCCTCCTCCTCCTCCTCCTCCTCCTCCTCCTCCTCCTCCTCCTCCTCCTCCTCCCCCACCCTTCCTCCCCTCACCCCCTCTCCCCCATCCACAGGGTCTTGGACGTTGTTCTAGTGACTCTGGAACGCCAGGCTGCGTTTCAGCCGCGCGCCGTCGAGGGCCGCGCAGGGCTGCCCATCTCGTCCTGAACGGCCGCCGGGGGGCCGAGTTGTGGCCCGATGGCTTCCCCCCCTCCTTGTTTCCGCTCGCGAGCCCACGACCCGGCCGGCCACAATTGTGTGCTGTTGCCTCTAGAGATCAACAATACATTGAGAGAAGGAGGTTTCTCCCTATCTATATGTATTATATCGACACCCATATACACATATGTGTTTTGTGTGTTGATTGTGATCGTTATGTTTATGTATTACTCTCCCTCGCACGATGTATCGTTCCCCTGTGCCTCTTTTTCTCTCATGGTATGTCTGTGTACGGCTATATGTCCATACAGTGTTTGCAATTCGGTATTCTGGTTTGTTTTGATGAATAACGGGGTGGGTATGCCGAGTCTTCGCTTGGTGCCTGGCTAGTGGCCGCCCGTGAGTCCCTCGTGGGCGCCCAGTGCACTGAGTGTGTTTGTCGGGGTTTCGCCAGTGGGCGCCTCGTGGGCGCCCCGTGTGCTGGGTGAGTCTGCTTGGGGTCACATGCGACCGCTGCTAGGATAGCAAAACAGATCTGTATACTTACTGCGAGCGCGCGGCTTCTCGTCATCATGATATGCATCATCGCCATCGTCATTGCCACCGGCATCGCTGCCATCGTCATCATCCGCATCTTCGTCATTCTCATCACCATCGCCCATCTTCACCACCGCCGTCATCCTCGTCATCGTCAATGTCGCCGTCTTTGCTAGATTTCTGCGTGCCCACCCTCTCACGATCACCAACACCATCAACATCACCATCGCCAGCGCCATCATTGCCAGTTAATACGTTCACCATCAGTTTCATCACCATCGTCATAGCCCGGCATCGCCCCCCATTGTTGCCATGAGCACGATGTTTTGTCATCGTCGTGGACGTTGTCACTGCCCAGGTGAGGTGCGCAAAGAAGTTGCAGGTGGGTGGGTGGGAGGGATGTTGCACGAACGTTGGATGTGGGCACAAGCTGACGCGGACAATCTCCATTGAACCACGCAATGCGCCACAAGGATTGCGCCACATCGTTTGCACCGTATACATCAGTAGCCCCACATACCTAGCACCATAAATGTTGTACCACACACTTCGCACCAACTGTCGTATACATCCAGAGCACACCCACGTGCTGTTCTGGATCCACGTTGGCACACCCACACGCGCACGTGCACATATCCACACAAATGTGCATGTAAGAGCGAACATTTGCGTATCTGTCTCTCTCTCTCTCTTGTCTCTCTCTCCCTCTCTCTATCTTTCTGTGCTTCTTTGTTTCTCTCCTTCGGTATTGCGATATGTATGAAACATGCTTGCAGGGGTATGCTGAGAAGCTCGTTGAATGCCGCCACCTTGCACTCCGTACTCTCTGGGCTCAAGTTTTGCTCTCGGGATAAACATTGATGGCCCCGCGTGCCCACCACGGCCCGCTGGCCCTAGTCGCTGCATCGGCGCCTGGGCTGGCTTCGCTGCTGTGGCACTCGGTGCGGTCCAACCTCCTCGCGGCGTTCTTCAGCGCCGAGGCCCAGCGGGTCGTGAGCGCCGGCGGGGAGGCAGCCAGGGGATCCGAGGGCCCACACCCCGACGAGGGTAGCTGCGGGGTCGCATACCCGCAGTGTCCAGACCTCATCTGCCCCGAGGCGCCGCCGTGTGCCCTTTGCCCGGCACTGCAGTGCCAGGCTTGCCCGGACGTCCCGGGAGATCTCGACCAGCCCGACTATATTGGCTGGGCCGTCAGCGTTGGCAACCTGGTGCTGACCGCGGCGGCGGGCTGCTGCCGACGCCAGCCTCGCCAGCGCGAGGCGCGCGAGGCGCAGCCTGAGCAGGCTCCGCGCCCCACCGCGCAGGACGACGCCGACGCCACCGTGCTGAGGACCGAGGCGATTCGACTGAGAAGGGCCATTCGGGATTGGGCAGTCTTGCGCACTCTCTAAGGAGGAACGGCGCAGTTTGAAGATTACATCGTGATAAGGTACAACCTGGAGGAGGAGGAGGAGGAGGAGGAGGAGTTGCAGTCTCATGAGAAGCTCGGCACGGGTGTGAAGCAGGGGCGGTTGAGCGTAGTGACCATCTATACTCTTGACGGCGACCACTATGAGATCGATGCCACCATTGGTGGCGGTGTCTATTCAGATCACAGGGTCGAGGATGAGCTCACGTGGGAGGCCCATGTCATCGGAGACAGTGCCATGACGCCGCTGGCGGGTGGCGACACCGCGCTGCTCAGGCATTTCGATCGGAAGGATCTACACGACTACGACAACGATGATCTGAGAGAGTTTTCAAGCTGTTTTGTCGGCACGTGTCGGCTCAGGAGGTCGGTCCCCGACGCCGTCGACCGCATGATGGACGCGCTGCCCGATTGCGCCTTCGAGGCCACGGGTCCGCGCGCGCGCGGGCATCGGTTGCAGGACTCCGCCTTCCAGTCTCAGACCCCCGTGACGCAGTCGGAGCACTGGAAGAGGACCGCCAAGAAGCAGGACGGGGATACGTCGCTGCATGAGCGAGAGGCGGTCGTCTCCCACATCCTCGTGGCGATGGCGCGTGGGGCAGCTCAGCGTGACCGTCTGCCTGTCTTGGCGTGGGCCCGGCTGACGGCGTTCGACGTGGGCATCGTGGCGCCGCACGCGGCCGGGGTTGGCGAGGACGCCGCCGCGACCTACGTGTGCGGCAAGGTCGCCCAGCACGCGCCGCACCTGGAGGCACTCGCGGCTGATGGGATCGCCTACCGGCCCGTCGTCTGGACGGCGTGGGGCCGCCCGCACGAGGACGCTTCGGCGGCGGTCGCGTCCATGGCGGCCGCGGCAGGGAGGCGCCTGGACGTGCCCCCGCATGCCATCGGCGCTGCGATCTGGCGCCAAGCGGCGCGCATGGTTGCAGCCTGCGGCCTGCGGCTCGCCCGCGGGGACGTCGGCGCCCTCCTGCCGGGGGCTGGGCCGCCCTCGCTGGTGTCGCCGACGACGAGGCCGCCTCCGACGTCGACCCTCTGGTGGAGCCGCCTCCGGGAGCCGCGCTCCCGGGTGACGCTGGCGACTCCGCCTCCGACGACGGCCCCCAAGAGCTGCCTCTGGCGGTGCTCTCTGACTCCTTTGCCCGGCACTCCCCGCCTGGCGTCGCCCGCTTGCCCTGCCCGCCTGTCCCCCGCCCTTGACTTAATTGTTCGGGGGGGCACGGCGGAGCCGGTGGGGGGTGTGGCGCTGGCGGAGGCGCCTGCAGCGCGCGAGCGCCGCCAGGGCGAGCTGGGGCTCGCCGGCGCGGCGGGCGCAGAGGAGGGCGCGGGCGCGGGCGAGCTCGGCGGGCTGAACGCGGGTGCTGGAGGCGGCGGCGAGCGCCCGGAGTGCGCGCGCGCCGGACGCGGTGGGGCCCTCGGTGGAGCTCCCTAAGGGGCCACGAACCGGATGAGGAGTGTGCCGAAATGGGCGCGGTGCCGCCATGCGAACGCAGCCACTGGAGCCTTCGGCGGAGCTCCCTATGGGGCCACGAAACGTGTGAGGGGTGTGCCGACATGGATGCGGTGCCGTCATGCGAACGCAGCCACGGGGGGCCTTCGGTGGAGCTCCCTCAGGGGCCACGAAGCGTGTGAGGGGTGTGCCGAAGTGGGCGCGGTGCCGCCATGCGAACGCAGCCACTGGGGCCTTCGGTAGAGCTTCCTATGGGGCCACGAAACGTGTGAGGGGGGTGTGCCGAAATGGGTGCGGTGCCGCCATGCGAACGCAGCCACTGGGGCCCTCGGTGGAGCTCCCTATGGGGCGACGAAACGTGCTAGGGGTGTGCCGAAATGGGTGCGGTGCCGCCATGCGAACGCAGCCACGGGGGGCCCTCGGTGGAGCTCCCTCAGGGGCCACGAAACGTGCGAGGGGTGTGCCGGTGCGGTGCCGCCATGCGAACGCAGCCATTGGGGCCTTCGGTGGAGCTCCCTTTGCGGCCACGAAACGTATGAGGGGTGTGCCGACATGGGCGCGGTGCCGCCATGCGAACGCAGCCACTGGAACCTTCGGTGGAGCTCCCTATGGGGCCACGAAGCGTGTGAGGGGTGTGCCGAAATGAGCGCGATGCCGCCATGCGAACGCAGCCATTGGGGCCTTCGGTGGAGCTCCCTATGGGGCCACGAAGCGTGTGGGGAGTGTGCCGAAATGTGCGCGGTGCCGCCATGCGAACGCAGCCACTGGAGCCTTCGGTGGAGCTCCCTTTGGGGCCACGAAGCGTGTGAGGGGTGTGCCGAAATAGGTGCGGTGCCGCCATGCGAACGCAGCCACTGGGGCCTTCGGTGGAGCTCCCTATGGGGACACGAAGCGTGTGAAGGGGTGTGCCGAAATGGGAGCGGTGCCGCCATGCGAACGCAGCCACGGGGGGCCCTCGGTGGAGCTCCCTCAGGGGCCACGAAACGCGTGAGGGGCGTGCCGAAGTGGGCGTGGCTGACGCGGAGGGGGAGGAGGGAGGAGGGGGAGGAGGAGTGAGTGAGGGACGCGGGGCGTTGTCTCTTCAAAACGAGGACCCAACGCCACAGGATGGTTGGGAAAATTATTCATGCCGTGGCGAGCGTCTGTTCATGAGCGGTCGACTACAATAGCGCGTCCACGTGGGCGACAGGGCCGACGAAAACGAGTGACCCCTAATGCGAGTGATTGCGTATGAGTCAGAGTGAGCTTTGAGTACGGTTGAATGCGAGCCTCTTCCTCTTCATCCCCCCTCCTCAGCTGCCAGGCCTTCCCCTTTTCAGCCCGTGGTAGCTTTGGAGCTTCCCACATGTGCATATGTTGTAGGATAGTTGGCAGTGGGTTGTGTAAGACGAGCGCTTAGCCACACAAGGCCATAAGTGCATGTCATGTTGGAGGATAGTGCCACGAGAAACAAGCAAACCGCCTGAGACATCCCCACAAAATGGCCGCGAACGAGCCCGTGCAACCACCCCTGGCGGCTCCCCTTATGGGTGCTGAAACCAGCGCCCCGCCTGAGACATCCTCACAATTTGCTCTCCAAGCGAAGGATGTTGAGCCCGGAAACAAGCAAACCGCCGGAGACATCCCCACAAAATGGCCGCGAGCGAGCCCGTGCAACCACCCCTGGCGGCTCCCCTTTGGGGTGCTGAAACCAGCGCCCCGCCTGAGACATCCTCACAATCTGCTCTCCGAGCGAAGGATGTTGGGCCCGGAAACAAGCAAACCGCCTGAGACATCCCCACAAAATGGCCGCGAACGAGCCCGTGCAAACACCCCTGGCGGCTCCCCTTAGGGGTGCTGAAACCAGCGCCCCGCCTGAGACATCCTCACAATCTGCTCTCCAAGCGAAGGATGTTGGGCCCAGAAACAAGCAAACCGCCTGAGACATCCCCACAAAATGGCCGCGAACGAGCCCGTGCAAACACCCCTGGCGGCTCCCCTTAGGGGTGCTGAAACCAGCGCCCCGCCTGAGACATCCTCACAATCTGCTCTCCAAGCGAAGGATGTTGGGCCCGGAAACAAGCAAACCGCCTGAGACATCCCCACAAAATGGCCGCGAACGAGCCCGTGCAAACACCCCTGGCGGCTCCCCTTAGGGGTGCTGAAACCAGCGCCCCGCCTGAGACATCCTCACCATCTGCTATCCAAGCGAAGGATGTTGAGCCCAGAAACAAGCAAACCGCTTGAGACATCCCCACAAAATGGCCGCGAACGAGCCCGTGCAAACACTCCAGGCGGCTCCCTTAGGGGTGCTGAAACCAGCGCCCCGCTGGAGACATCCTCCAAATCTGATGTGTGTTGAGTAAGTCTGAGTATGAGTAGGTCTGAGTACGAGTATGCCTGAGTATGAGTAATACTGTGTATGAGTAAGTCTGTGTATGAGTAAGTCTGGGTATGAGTAGGTCTGTGTATGAGAAAGTCTGTGTATGTGTACGTCTGGGTATGAGTATGTCTGAGTATGAGTAATACTGTGTATGAGTAAGTCTGAGTATGAGTAGGTCTGAGTATGAGCAAGTCTGAGTATGAGTAAGTCCGACAGGAGGGGAGGAGGAAATAGGAGGAGGAAGGAGGAGAGGGAGTAGGAGGCGTCCAAGTAATAACAAGAACCCCGTCTTAGGATATTGGGAAAAAAGAGAGCTGTTTGCCTGTGCGGCGGGCTGCTACATGGGCTGGTTTTCGTGCGGGAAGGGGGCGGCCATCGACCCGCAGTTGCGCCTTCTCGCTGCCGACAACCTCCGCGGCGAGCCGCAGCATGCCGCGGAGGTGAGCGAGGCGAAGGAGGAGCAGCGGCTGCGCAAGCAGAATGGCAGCGGCACGGAGGAGGGCAATAACGACAAGGAGCGCCCCTGATGGGGCGGGGGCGCGGGGCCTGGCCAGCCCGCGCCCCCTCAGGGGCCATTGCGCGGAATTCTGGACGAGCTGAGGTTCGCCCTCGCACCTCGATGCATGGGCTGCTCGGGCCAACGGCGTTTGGGCATCATCGAGTCCCTCGCCGAGAGCTACTCCCTGTGCCTCACGCCCCGGCCACGCCCCGCACGATTCTGGGGCCTCGCGCTGTGCTCGGAGGAGGCTGGCTCGCCGCCGCGGGGTCGAGGGGAGGGTCAATGAGGCACTCGCGGTTTTGAATGAGATGAGCTGCGCGGGGGAGGGATCAGAGACCCTTCGGCCGTCGATGGCGCAGCTCACCTCGCAGGAGGCACTGCTCGAGCTGGCTTCACCTACCAACACGCACAGCCGTCGCGGGGCCGCCGACGAGCTCCTGGCCAGAGTGGCCGACGGCGCCGGGGTCGACCAGGGCACTGCAGCGAGGCCGTGCAAGCGCTCTCTGGTGTCGATACCAGCGGTTGGGGAGAGCTCTGCTCCACTGACCTCGGTGGCTGGTGAGCTGGAGAGGGAGTTGCTACAGCGGCCAGCAGAGACGATGCCGGCAGATTCCGACGACGTGGACTGGCGGTCTGAGAAGATGAGTTTGATCCAGGCCTACATGGACGAGGTTTTGCGCGCTGACAGGTCCCAGTATCTGACTTTCCTGGGGGGCCTCTACGGCGCTTCTCTCATCTCTTGGACATGCCGGCCTCGGGAGATGTGTGCGCCATTTTTTGCTGCCAAGAAAAAGGGCGACCTACGCATTGCGATGGGCTGCCACGTCGGCGACCTCCACTTTCGCCCCCCCCCCCGCGCATCTCGACATGGGGACAGGGGGAGCGCGGTCAAGGTTGGAGTGGCCCGAAGGCGCGGGCCCACTGTTCACTGCTGCCGCGGACGTGAAGAACTACTTTCGCACCATCCAGAACCACCCCGACCTTCAGCCTTTCTTTTGCCTGCCGCCGATCTCGGTCGGCGAGGCGCGGGCCTTCGTGGGGGGTCTCGAAGGGCCGGGCGATCCCGAGCCTGTCTGGCCCGTGCTTCGGCTGGCCCCCATGGGTTGGAACTGGGCGTTCTATTTTGGCCAAAGGATCCTCGATAACCTCATTGACGAAGCGCTGAGGGGCTTCTTCGTTCAGTTCTCATTGCTCAAGGGCGTCGGGCCGATTCCTGACGTCGCTTCGAAGCTCGGCGCGCTGCTTCATTGCGACAACCTCAACATTCTTTGGCCTGGACGTGGGCGCCGCGCAGCTCGCCGAGGACAGGGTGGTATCCCACCTGAGGTCGAAAGGGTTCCCCGTCCACGAGGAGGTCGACGCCTCTGCGAAGGTCACACCCCTGGGCCGATGCATCGACGGCGACAGGTGGATCGTCTACGACAAGCCGGAGCGGGCAGAGCGGCTCGCGAAGGTGTGTTGCTCCATCGAGAGCGGTGCCCGCATCTCGGGCCACGCAGCCCAGTGGTGGGCTGGACATGTCGCCGATTTCTTCTTGATTCGTCGGGAGGGCCTGGCCGTCCTGAGGCCCACCTACGATTTCATTGACAAGGTTGGTTTGGGCAGGCAACGAGCGCGGCCGTCGCTGCGCAAGGAGGCCCGCTGGGCGAGGGGCCTCATCGGAGTCTGCGCTGCTGACCTGAAGATGAGTTGGCATCCGCAAGCTGTTATGACGGACGCCTGCGACACTGGAGCTGGCCTGGCGTCTGCATGTTTCCACCCTTCCAGCCTCGCGGCAGTGGGTCGCGCCTCAGAGCGTGGGCGATATCGAGGCAGGCACCCTTTGTCACAACCTCGTCGCAGCGCTCTCGGACAAGTGGACGTCTTCTCGGACCCCAGCCCCATTCCAGATGGTTCGGGGGGCTCCCTGGAGATGCTCGAGAAGAACCCGTGCTTCCAGGAGGCCCCAGGTAACATGCTCAAGGAGGCGCTCTGGAGGGGGGACATCTCCACGAGGTTCAAGAACGCCGAGGAGATGCCCACTCTGGAGGCGAGGGCTACAGTCTGGGGGTCAGGCACGGTCTAAGGTCCATCAAGGGGTTCAAGAGGCACCACCTTATCTTGGGGGACCAGCTGGGCAACACCATGGCTTTTGGGAAGTCCAGGGCTGCGTCTTTTTCCATGCTCAACCTCATCCGTCGCGCCTCGGCTCTGGCGTTAGCTAGCTGCGCCAAGTGGCACTTTCGGTGGGCACCTTCTGAGAAGAACACAGCTGATGGCCTCTCACGCCGATGGGAAGGAGAACCGCCAGCTTTGCAGGGCCACGCCCCCGACACGCGGGATGCCCTCCGCCCGCCGCCTAGGCCTCGGCTTTCCGACGAGGTCGACAGCGGCGGGGGGCGAGGCGCGGGCGACGGGGGCCACGCACTCGGCGGGGGTCTCCTCGCGACTGCATCGCAAGGCCGCTGGGGCGCCGCTGCCGCCGCTGGGGGCTCGTCGGCCACGGAGCGGAGCTCGGCGTCTGATGGCGGCTGCTTGCCGAGGCGAGGGGCGGTCCCAACGGGCTGCGGCCTTCAGCGTTCTCGAGCCGCGGGCGGCGGCGCGCCAGGTCTCCACGCTGGAGTCGCATGCCATTGCGAGCGCGACGGAGGTCCTCTACAATGCCTGGCTGAAGGTGCTCCTGGCTTTTGCGACCTCGATCGGGTGCTGGATCGCCTGCCAGTTGGCCGAGAAGCAGAAGTCTGTCGTCGCCTGTTTGGCCGTCCTCGTGATGTTCCTCGCGCACCTGCGGCCGATCGACCTGCCTTCTCTGAGGGAGGAGGACCTCGCGCCGCCGTGCGCCTGCAGTCGGCGGCGGGCTCTGAGCCTCCATCTGGCCGCTCTCGGCGACAGGTCCCAGATCGGCCTCGACGACGAGAGCATCCTGCTGGGCGCGAAGTACCTCCCAAGGCTCGGCGGCTCGGTGACGGTGCTCAAGACGGGCAACCCCGTGAAGATGCTGTTCGACCTCGAGCCGTCGGCCCTCCTGGCGCTCTGGACGGCCACGATGCGTCGGCTGAGCTTCCCCGCCGACGACAAGTGCGCGCAGGGCCAGCTGCGGCACGGCGCCCCCCCCCCCCCCACCATGGCCTCGTGGGCTGCCGCGCGCTGCCGGAGATCCATCGCCGAGGTCGCTGGCTGGTCAAGGACACGATGAGACGCTGCGTGGCAAGCGCAAGGGTTCAGCCAGACTGGGCTCGCTTCTTGGGCGGCCAGCAGGGCCTCGCCCGCCAGGCAGTCGCCTGCATCCATCATCGGGTGAGCTCGCAGTCCCTGCCCGTCGTCAGCGGGCCCTCCAGCCGCGCTGCGTCCTCGACCTCTATGCAGGTTGCGCTGGTGTCAGCCAAGCGCTCGCGCGCAAAGGCATCGAGTGCTCAGCGTGGGACGCCCTCTACAGCCAGGAAGCCGACCTCGCGAGCCTAGACAATATGAGATGGCTGGCCAGGCGCGCGACGCAGTGCAACACTGCACAACATCGGCGCCAGCTGGTCGTGGCAGGGTGGGGGCAGGGCCTCGCGGCTCGCTGCTTCGGAGTGTGGATCGCCATCGCTTGTGCGACTTGGTCCAGAGTTCGGGACCTGCCGCCAAGACCGAGGATCCGCGACGACAATGAGAATTTGCCTGGCTTTCCTAACTTGTCCGCTGTGGACAGAAGAGACGTTGAGCTTGGCAACATAATGGTAGATTCCCTATGTATTTTCCTTGAGGCAGTGTTGCATCTGCGCATTCCTGTCGCCATTGAGAACCATCGCCTGTCTAGGCTTTGGCCCCACCCGAAATAATTCGTTTGTGGAAAATGTTTTCAGCTGATTTCCTCGTGTTTGACCAGTGCGGTTGCGGGGCCCGCTGGAGAAAATCCACTGGTCTGCTAGCGTGGCACTTCCCCGAACTTGCTCAGTACTCTCGCCGGCGCACGGGGTGTAAAGGTCTGTGCAGCTTCACGGGGCCCCCTCATGTGCAGTTGCATGGCAAGGACTCCTCAGGCAACTGGCGCACGATCTGCTCGCAGCAATATCCAGACGATCTGTGCGAGCAAATTGCCAATGTTTTCCGAGATGCTCTCGGTAACCGCTTTTGAAGGGCAGGCGTGGCCTCCTGCCCTCCGTGGTGCGGGCTTGCGCCCAGGACACTTATTGTAAGTGGGTGCGGGATTGTTTCCAGGTCTGTCGCATCGGCTTTCTCGCGGTTTTCCCGCTCATCAGCCTAGCGTCGCCCTGAAAGACCTGTTAGCCTGGCAAGAGAATTAAAGCTGCGAAGCATGAAACATGCTTTCAGGGGTATGCTGAGAAGCTCGTTGACTGCCGTCATCTTGCATTCCGTACTCTCTGGGCTCAAGTTTTTCTCTCGGCCCGCCATCCGGCCCCTTCTCCACCATCTCAACTTCATTATTCTTGGAATGCCACCTGGATTGTTTCCAGGTCTGTCGCATCGGCTCTCTCGTGGTTTTTCCGTTCATCAGCCTAGCGTCGCCCTGAAAGACCTGTTAGCCTGGCAGGAACATGAGAGCTGCGAAGCATACACATATATCTATATGAATGTAAATGTATATGCATGTACATCTGTATGTTTATGACGGCCACACTGCGCGGTTGGTAGTCACCACGCATTGTTGCCATCCCGGTGGCGCGGTCAATCTCAGTGCCCAGTAACGACCAGCGTGGCAGTGATGATGGCGATGATGATGGTAAGATGATGATGTTGTTGCTGATGATGATGATCATGATGGTGATGATGATGATGATGATGATGATGATGATCGTAATGCTGCTGCCGATGATGCTGATTATGATGATGATGCTGATGATGATGATGACGATGATGACGATGCCACGGATGGTGACCAGCGTGACAAGTGACGGCCCACGTGACCAGTCTCCGTGGCAATGATGCCACGGATGTCCGTGGTGATGATTGTCACGCCTTCCGACTCAGGAGGACGCCGACTCGCGCCTCGTGGCTGCCGCGGTGCTCCGCCGCGCGGGCCTGGCGCATGGGGCTGACGCGCAGGACCTGCCGCCTGCACACGGCTTCCAGCCTGCCTGGCGCCGCCTTCCCGGCTGCCTTCGGCCACATGCCAGCAGCATCTTGGGGGTCCTTCGACGGCGCGGTGACAACACCGTGTGCCGAGTGTTCGAACGTGTTCGTCGCTTCCCAGGGTTTCTGCCCGCCTCGGGATGCATTCCAGCATCTGCGCCTCGCCGAGAGCGTTCCGCGGGTGCCCGCATCGTCTCGGCAGCCTCCACATTCGAGTTATGGCCCGGGAGCCAAAGATTTGGAGGTTGGAAGGTGTGATGAGTCAGTGGGGATCCGAGGTCACCGCACAGTTTTGGGGCTTGGGCAATTCTCCGACGTCTCGGGCGTCTCGGGCCTCTGGGTCCCCAAAACGGTTCGGTGAGGTCCTTCTGAATTTCGATGTCACCGCAAGGTCTCTCACCGCACCGCTTTGGGACCCTCAACGCACTGGACAGATGCAGGGACAACTGATTGCGCGCCCCCCGTTACTCGGGGCAGAGAGATTGTCAGGATGGCGTTGGGGCGGGTTTGGAGGCGCACCAGGTGCGCACCATAGATTCGCGGCTTCGTCCGCCCATTGGCAGGTCTTCCCCATTGGATATAGGCATTGGCTCTCCCATCATCGGAGAGCCAGTACCATATTCCAGGGGAAGCAACTCGAATCGGATGCTGTGGCGACGGTCTCTGTTTTTCGGTTTCGTCGCACTCGTGAAGTTGCTTGCCTCGCAGTCCGCGGCTCTTTTGATGCATGGTGCGTGCAACCAGGATAACTATGCAAGGTTGCCGTTCCTGGATCATCCGTGTTTCCACCGCCCCCCAAGGGAGAGGTGTCTTTGCGAAGTCTTTGGGTGAGTTGGTACCCTTGGGAATAAAGCATGAATGACGATGAGATGGAGCTGTAATGAGGAAGTGATGCTACGGACGAGTATAAGGTGTGAGAGGAGAGGAGATGGGGGTACACAGAAACATGAAGAGGAGTGCAGGGAAGGAAAGGAGGCAGGATGATGATGATGAGGAGGAGGAGGAGGAGGAGGAGGAGAGGTGACGGAAGCCAGGCGTATGGAGGCCATGAGCTTCGATCGGGCCATCGATGAGTGTCGCTTTTGATGGGCCAGGGTACGTGAGACGTTTCTCGGAAGGCGCGTCTCGCAGGTGCCCAGCGGAGCGCGCGCATCTCCGCGCTTGGCCGTGTCGGAAGCCTTTGGGTTTTGTCAGGAGGTTCTTTGGGGGCGTCCTGGAGACCTGTCGAGACCTCCTCGGAGCTTTTCGATGTTTTTTTCCTGAGGCCAGTTCTGGCCATGGTGAGTTGCTAGCATGGCCCTGCTGGGCTCCCTTGTTGCCCTGCTTGGCGACCTCGCTGCTGTCTCGTGGCTTTTGAAGCCTGCCTGGAGGAGGAAGTGTAAGAGCCGTGACATCGTTGGACCGCATTTTCTCTTCAGTGTGGTTGTCGAACCATCCAGCCACTGTGCCCGGGAAGGCGGACAAGGGTTTGGTGCCTCTTGGGGGTCCTGGCGGGGGCGTCTGGCTCTCAGGATCGAAGGGCCGCCTACTTCACGCCCCGTCACGCGTCGAGGGCGTCGGACAAACAAAGCCACGCGGCACACACGGCATTCCAGGAATCGGTCTGGGGCTTCGAAAGAACAAACATCGAAGGGTGAGGACACTCCATTTCGTGCCTCGCCCACGGTGGCGAATATGGTTTGAGATTCTCTGGGGCTTGTCCGAGAGGCTTCCAGGCCATCGTGCAGACAGAAATGTCGGGGCCATTTGGGAGGGGCGTGCAGGTCATCTTGGGCGTTAAAGCAATCTTGGACAATTTTCATGGCCTCGAGTGCCTGGTGGGCAGGTATGGATTATTTTCTTGGTGCCCAAGAGGTGAGTTGAGGAGCTCTTTTGGGTTCACCTCCTGGTTCCCCAGAAGGATGCAATGGCACCTTCAATGCCCATCACGGCCGCATTATGACAACGAGCAGCGTGTTCTTGCCCAGGTTTGCCGATCGACTCCTCCGCTACCGGCTTACGTGTTGCGCGCGCCCGAGTACAACCCCGACGCATTCTTCCAAACAAATTGGCAGTCGTCAGTGTGCAATGCCATCCATGCGTTGGGCTGGGCCCTCGTTAAGGAATGGGCTCAGGAGGCTTCAGGCCCTGGAGGATTCCTTATCTGATGAGGGCGGCGGTGATTTCAATGGCCAAGCCTCAAAAGGTGTTCCACCAGCTTTCAGACCCCGCATTCATTGACCTTTCCTTGTCCGGTGCCCTCACAGTCCGTGGCCATTTTGGCTCAAGAGAGCCGTGCTTCGGGAGGCTCTCGTGCTGCGCGCCCGCCGCGGCGCGTCGGGTGCGCGCAAGAGGCCGGATGTCTGGCAGGGCCTGGGCTGCTGCCAGCGCGCACGCCGGCGCGGCGGCTTTGGAGGCAGCGGCGGCACGAGCTGGGCTTCTCGCGAGCTCAGGCGCTCGGCCACCGCGTGCGGGCCCCGCGGGCTTCCACCGCGGCGCACCGGGAGCTCGCCGACGCCATGGGCGTGTTCTTCCCCACCTTCGGCGAGGAGGTGACGGCGGTGAAGCTGGTCGGTGTGGCCAGCGTGACCCTGACCGCCGCGGAGGACGGCTTCAAGGGTGGTAGTACATGGTCCGGCACGTCCCTCCGCCCGGGGGGCCAGGACGGCCGCCTGCACTGCGATGTTGGAGCGCATCTGCGAGGGCAGGAGCACGCCGCTGCACTCCGACGTGGCGGAGCTCGGGCGAGGCCCTGGCTGCTGGCACTGACCCAGTGTGCAAGGCTCTCGTCGAGGTGGCCGGCATTGGCAACGGCGTGGTGGTCTTCATGCAGAAGGGCGAGTCGGTGCTGCACGACTATGAAAAGAAGCCCCTGGACGCTGACGAGGGGGCTCAGGACGGCGAGCCCGCGAAGTTCGTCGAGGGCGTCGTGTGCCATTACCTCGCCGCGCGGAAGGTGCCGCCCGTCCTGGACAGCCCCGGCGAGGAGATCGCCGAGCACGGGGGCAGGACGCCTTTCGAGGAGGAGGGCCTGGTCGGCGACTGCAGCCGGCCAGCGGCGCCGAAGCTCGACCTCGTCAAGCAGAAGTTGTGGTGGGCCGCGCGGGCCGGCATCGCACGGGCGCGGCCCGGGGGCAGCTTCCGGGAGGTGCCCGCGCCGCGGGCCGCGGGCGGTGGCCTCGTGGCCACCTTCGGCTGCGTCGGTGACGAGCAGTGCGCTGCTGGGGGGGGGGGGCGGAGTCGGTGCTGGCGGTGCGGCTGGCTGTGGGGCCGAGGTGCGGCACTTTGGGGGCGCCTCGCCCAGGCGCTCTCGGGGGGCGCTGCCCGATGGTGACGTACCAGAAGACCACGGCTGCGCCAACATCTGAATCGGCCCCTGGGGGGCCCAGGGTTGGGCGCCCGTCGTCGACGTTGAACGTCCCCGGCTGGGGGGTCTCTTGGGGTCTCGTGGGGTATCTGTTGGGCTTCCTGGAGGCCCCTTGGGCGCTTCTTGGGGCCTCTTGAAGGAGATCGTGGCCTCGAGGGCGCGAATGCGGCGCGATTTACAAACGATCGTGGCTTCGGGGGCGCGAATGTTGTATAATTTGCGCGGGATCGTGGCCTCGGGGGCGCGAACACAGCGTAACTTACTGGAGATCGTGGCCTCGGGGACGCGATTGCGGTGTAATTTACAATGGAGCGTAGCCTCGGACTGTGGTGTAATTTGCCGGGGATCGTGGCCCCAGAGGCGAGGATGTTGTATAATTTATTGGGGATCGTGGCCTCAGGAGCGCGAATATGGCGCATTTTGCAACGGATCGTGGCTGCGGGGGCGCGAATACAGGATAATTTGCGAGGGATCTCGGCCTCGGGGCGCGAACACAGAGTAATTTACTATGGATTCTTGCGTCGGGAGCGCGAATCTCAAGTATTTTTGGTATATCACGCCCCCCCAGAGCTTCAGAGCACACGACTCGGGCGTGGTAATCAGGGTGGTTTCCGGCTACCCCCCCTCGCGCGGACAGCAACAATTCACAGTAGGAAGCAGGAAGCAGCATTGTAACACTGGAAACTGGAAACTGGAATTGGTGCAGGGAGCAGGACGCCTCCGCCACGCAGCCTGATGGCCCCGCAAGGGGGCCAGCGGACATATGCGGAGCTTGGGCGTAAGCGGAAACGCTTATCGGCGGGACCCCCGAAAGAGACGGACCGCGGCGCGGGTGCAGAGGCCCCTTGCGCTGCAGGCCGCCGCGGGACACCGGCGCCCTGCAGGCCACCTTGGGCCCTCGATTCCCGAACCACACGCTGCCTCCAGGCCACTGGATCACAGACTGCCGAACCATGGGCATCCGAGCATGTTGCCACCGAGGCACACCCACTGGCACATGGGCCCACGGACGCACGGCCCACCAGCAGGCCACCGATCTACGAGCAAGCGCGTCGCGCGAGACCAACAGAAGGCAATCCGACCGTGGGCAGCCGCCACCAAGACAAGGGCAGCTTGCGGATGTGGAGACACGACGACCCACAATAATTTTGGAACGCAGTTGCGTGCGGATTCAAATGTTCAGATTTTCGAGCGCACCACGATCTGGCGAACCTAAGCGCGAGCCCCATGAATGGTCGGACTGTCGCTTTGACGGCGACGTGTCATGGTGGGTGTCGCGGGCGAAAGAGGCCAAAGGGTGGGGGGAGGATGACGTGGAGGAAAAAGAGAACGGAACGGATAAGGAACATAAAGCGGACGTGGGGGGTCGGGTGAGGGGGGGGGGGCCAATGCGGCCAAACGCGTTTTTGAAATAGCTGCGTTTGGGGCCGAAGGTGTCATAGAAATTGCAGCGCAAGCCTTCCCAACCTCGGCGTCCCCTTCTTCGAACTCCACGAGGGCTTCCAGGTCAACATTTTTATGCCTTTCACGCCACATGCATACACCTAGAACCAAGAAGCGGATATTTCTATCACCCGTGCCTCGTTCTCCTTCCTTATCATCCCCTTTTTATCCCTCTACCATTTTCGGCGTTGCGCCCGGGGGCCAGTGAGAGGGGGATGGCTTGTGCAGAGGGCATGGAAGTTTTCCGGCCCTCTGAGAAGCGTTCTACGTTTTTTTGAAGTTCAAACGCATTTCTGATAATGCCGGATGGCTTCTCAAAAAAACCGACCGCCTTTGAGAAGGCCTCCCCTTTCTAAATTTCCCCCCTTCGCTCGCCACCGATATCTGCTCCAGGTACGTCACCGCCCCCATTCATCCTCCTCGTCCTCTTCGTCCCTTGCTCCCTTGCTTTCTCCTCCCTCTGCTCCTCATTCCCACCCCTTCCTCCTCCTCCTCCTCCCCTCCCCCTCATCATTCCCTTCTCCTCCCCTTCCCTCCTCCTCCCTCCCCCTCTCTTCGTCCTCCTTGTCCTCGTCTCAAGCCTCCTCGTCCTCCTCGTTTTCCTCGTCATCCGTCTTCCACCCCCCCGAGGACAAGAGCCTTGTTCTCGCCGCGGTACGCGTCGCCGGGGAGGCTCTGCGCTACGCCGAGGGTGCGCTGTGCGGCGATGTGGAGGCATGCGGGGGGCCTCCACACCGGCCTCCCTACATAGTCGTCAGCCTCCGTCGTCGTCGCCGTCGACGTCGTCGTCGATGAGATGGTGGTCGAGAGTGGTATAAGCTGTTCGAAGACTGGCATACTCTAGACGATTCGCGTAACCCCATCTGTCTTGGCCTGGGGTCTTCTCAGCCTTCAGCTGCGTGCTGCGCCGCCCCTCTTGGCGCCGTCTGGCCCCCCCTGGCCACCGCCGCCCTGCCGCCGACCACAGCCTGGTTGCGGCTCCCGGGCTTTCGCCTTCAGTCCCTGTCGTCTGTTGGTGTCCGTGGTGGCCTTTGAGCCTGGTGAGGTAACCCTGGCGTCCTGGCGACTTGCACGTCGACCAGCTCCAGCTTGCATGCTCGCATGTTCCCGGCCCCTGGTCCCCAGACACTGCCACAGCCTGGCCGTGTCTGCAGCTGCCGCCTTGCATGGTGGGAAGCACCTCCACGTGGATTGCTCATGAGTGGTTTAGCATTCTGGTTCAACCACCTGAGGTCGCCACTGTCGGCATGCGACACTGGTACACTGGGCTGCTTGCTCAGCCCCACACAATGCCTGCTTAGCTCGGGTGGCTCGTTTACCTCCGGCGCCTGGCGCGACAAGGTACAATTCGTTGCATCAGTCCCCGGCGTCGCTCCTCGGCGTCCCTCGGCGGCAGTTTCGGCAGCCTTTAGTTCGCGCGCTTAGGTAATTAGGTTTGGCTCGTAGCCTGGGCTGACTTCGGACGCCGCCTGCGCTTCCGCTTGCGGCCGCGACGGAAAAATAACCCCATCTGTTCATCCAGGAACAATGCCAAGACGAGTTGCCCTGATCAGGGACGTCGTACCCCAGGAGGGGGAAGATGGAGGAGGATGAGGAGCAGGAGGAGGAGGAGGAGAAGGAGAAGGAGGAGGAGTAGGGGAGGTGGGAGAGGGGCCCGTTGGCTGACCCAGAAACGGTTCCTGCAAACCCACGGATGCGTTTGTCTGTGGGAGGTCGGGCCGAGGGCTTTGCGCTGGGATTTTTTAACATGCGCCGCTGGAGACGCCACAACCATCCTGCATTGAGTCAGGCCGAGGCGCAGAGGCTCCTGCACCAGAGTCGCAGAGCGAAAGCCTGGGGCAGAGAGCGGCGACACTGTCAGCGGCGAGGCCACACGGCTTCCGCACGCGCAGGGGGGACCATCAGCCCAACGAGGGTTGGCCCAACCGTCCCCCCCGATGTTACGGACAGAGCGCAGCCATCGTGCTTGACAAAATTGTCACCCGTGACCGCTTAGGATGAAGGCCACGAAGCATGCGAGCCCAGGAATCTGGTGTCCTGGGAGTGCCATCCTTATTGGCAGGAGGGGCGTGACAGCGGCTCGCAAGTTTGGCGAGCCTTAAACCAGAAGTGTAGCACTTACACGTCTGGCAAAAACAGACAAAGGAGTCGTCGCTACAATCAACCACCCAGCACCGATGGCCGAGCGAGGCCAACTGAGCGACTTGCACACGCGAGTGATGGGAACAGACTCCTGGAGGCGGCACCGCCGCAGTGCGCCTCCCACGGAGGCACTGAGTACATTGCCAAAGGTCCCCGACCCGCACCCAGGAATGGCCCGAACGGGCCTCCACGGCAGGACGCGGCGGGACGATAAGCTGCGCCCCCTTGAGGTCAAGGCGAGGTCAGAGCGGCAGAAGGTGAACAGAAAGCTTAGCTACCGCTTTGGCAACCGAAAACTACGACTCACAGACTCTTGAAGCTCGGGCGAAGCAGCAGGGTGCTGGAGAGCGCCTCTCTTGGCCGCCTGGTCGGCCCCGTGGTTGCCCAAGCGGTAAAAGGCCTCCAGCGGAGGCAAATCCAACTCGAAACTCTGGTGAGCCTTCACCTTGGTGAGACTCGAAATCAACGAAGCGTGAGACAGAGCCTGCATCATCATACCGCTATAAACGAGTTTATAGCTGATCTGGTTATAATAACCTGGAGCATGGTACTGCTTGTGCACATTCAGGCAGTCCGTGTAGAAGTGGCTGGGACCTCCAGTCAAAAACACGGAGCCCCCGAAGGCTGAGTACTCCCTTCCCTGACTCGTCTGGGGCGTGGGGCTCCAGACGGGGGCCGAAACCGAACAGAGAGGGGCCGCGGAATCCGAATTTTCAAAAACACAGAGCCCCCACCCCGCTCTCGACAATTCACGCACAGGATGTTTAAAGCAAGGGCCGTCCATAAATACATGGCCCTCGAATCCGCCACCCAGCCGAGCTGGGTCGTCGTGCCATTGAATATCTACTCCTGTGGACGAGAGCGGAGGCGGGTACAAGTCCCCTGGGTGCCTGAAAAAGGCCTCGGGTGAAAAGAAGGAGGTCCACATTGGGGTCCTTAGAGGCTTCTAACACCCGGGGGTCCACAAGACTGGCACGGAGCTCAGAACATTTGCTACACTCCCAAATCCTGTGGAATAGAGAATCGGGCTCCCCACAGAGAACGCACTGCGGACAACGCTGATATCCTAAGCTAACGGCCTTATCACGAGTCCAAGTAGCCCCACAGAGAACCGCTTTCACAGTGCCCCTCTGGGTCTTATCGAGCTTAGTTGACCGAGTAGCCGTAACCATAACGTCGAAGCGCAACCGATCAGATGACCCCAAGGCAAGATTTGCCTGCCTCTCCAAAGAGCGAAGCACTCCTTCCCTGAGGAGCTTCTTCAACAAGGCAGGTGATGTGACAGGCAGCGAGATCTCTTGCTGGAGGTCATTGGTCAGAGTGAAGGGGCCTTTCATCTGCCAGTCAATCCTGCACAAAGAGAGCTCCATCGCACCGACGGGTCCACCGCGCGAGCGCCATGCGATGTCCTTGGAGAAAGTTGCACTCCATGCCGAGCGGAGGGCAGCAAACGATAGCGAAAGAGACGTGATCTTGCTCGCCGTGATCCACACCTCCTTACCCCATCGAATCACTGGTGCTACCGAGGCGAGCCAAAGGGGATCACTCTCAGCAATCATAAGCACGGTGAGAGACCGACCCCCAGCTGACGGCTGCATCGTACGACCGAGCCCTCGACGAATCCGAAGAACCTCCCCGTCGCTACACCCGTGGACTTCGGCGCCATATAAAATGCCAGGCAGCGGCCCAGCGGTGAATATCTGCTTAAAAACCGACGCGCCTGCATCGGTCTAGAAGCAGCTCCAGATCAAATAGTTCGTAGAACTTATACATATCCCAAAGGACACTAGCGGACACATCGTTGTTGGAAACCGGCTCTTCAGATCTAAGAGCTTGCCTCCAAACCACATCCGAGGAAGACTGGAATCGCCCACAGGCGAAGAAAGGCCTCTGCCACGCGGCCTCCCACTCCTCAGCTAAGCGACGGCGAGCACGCCCCCAGAGTCTGTAAGTAGCCACGAAGAGGCCGAGAGGCCTGAAGCCTCCAGAGGCCTTCGACACCATAGCCAGGAGAACCACCCTCAACTGAGTCGGAAAAGCCGAAAGCATCTCCCATAGCTGGAACATCTTCCCCAGGGCCAGGAGGGCGCCGTCGCTAAGCTGCGCGAAGTGCCTCATGTGAAAGCCGTCGGCCGAGACAGCCGTAAACCTGGAGTAGCTGAGGCTGAGATTGCGAAGCACTGGGGGACTGAGAAACTCCAAGGGCTCCAGGATAGCCTCGCGCGCGAAACGGTCAGGCGGCCGAGCCCCCTGATAAGTAGTGCCCCAGAGGTCCGCGAACTTGAGGGCTTCCGCTTTCAGGGGCTGAGTGGATCCGAAACCAGGGCGCCATCGGAGCTCAGGGTAGTCGTTGGTTTCCAAGACTGGGGGTCCCTCGTGTACTGATGAGCCCTCTTGCACCCTTTCTCGATGCCCTCCAAGATCCACTGCCTCCAGGAAGCTCTGGATTCCTTCCGAGTAAAAGCAACGGCCTCCGAGAGGGACTCCTCGAAGTCCTCCAACAACTGAGTCAGAGATAACCTCCAATCGTCCAGGGAAAGCTCGTCACTACGTCCCAAGAATAGAACAGCCTGATCGTGAACCACAGACCACTGCCCCAGATGATCCAAGATACACTGAGGAGGGCGTCGCATCTGACCTACGATCGACTGCACGGCCGGGCGCTCGTCGGGGTCGCCCGCGCCGAGGTGCCCGATCAGAGCGCGCAGCTGCGCAGCAAAGAAATTGACCGACTGCTGCGCTGACGGCGGAGCGGCCCTGGTGTCGATAGCGAGCGGATCGTACCACTCGCACCCAGGCCTGCGACCACGAGTGCCAAAAACTGGGATAGACGACTGCGTCGAGTTGACAAGTTCGACCTCGCTGAGATTGGCCCACACTTCGTAAGCCGAGTCCAGCCCAGAAAAAGCTTCCTGCAGCCTCCCAGACACAGCGCTTTCCAGAGTAAAGTCCAGAAGCTCCAGGGTGCGGGACCAGTCGGGCGGCTGCGTCACGGGTCCCATGGCAGGGTCAACGGGGATCTTCGGAGGCTTGCGAAACCTGAGGGCCCGTAGGGTGCTAAGAGACTTGTGGAACTCCAGACACACAGGCAAAAGAGGATAAGTGGCAGCCTCCTCGACCAGAGAAACATCCTTAACACAGTTACTCAGGCCTCCAGAGACCAGAAAGTAGTCGTAGTGCTTGGTACCACTGGGGCCCGTCAAAGACCCTCGATCCCCAGGCGCCGACACAAGTGAGCCTCGCAGAAGCTCAGGTATTCCGTTGTCCAGAAGAACTTCGGGGACCATGTTGAAATCCCCGCCCAACACGAACGGCAAGCCCGAGTGAACCAGGAACGACATGGCATCAGAGAGGATAGAAACGCTGGCATCGCTCATCTGCTAGCAATCGTGCAAGTAGATACTGGCGACTAAGAGTTGCGGCTGCCCCAGCCGCTGAACGACACCTGCCACACACCTGTGAGGAGAGACCTGAGTGACGTCGAGAAGTGGGTGGAATCCAAAAACTCAACGAACTGCTACCGCAACGCCTGCAGAAGCACCACCTCCTCCCCAGAACATCCAGGCTCCCAC